GGCTGGTCACAGAACTCTGCCTGGAGCAAAAGCATATTAAGAATGTTTGAGAAATAAAATACAAGCCAAATAGGTAAGGAAATAGTTAGGAGCTCCACACTCCACAGGCAATGTTTTCTTTGGGAAGATGCTGAAGTAAATCTGGAAAAGCTGATGTGTTTGGGCATTGAGCTTCTAGTTTTGTTCATTCAGGGAATGCAATAGTCTGGATTTTTCATTCCCAAGGGAGCAGAGATGGTACTAGAGACAGTTGTGGCTGAAAAGCTCCTGGTTGCTCAGTACTTCTCCAACTGCCTCAGTTTGTACTGTCTGTCCCAAGAGTAGCCAAAGCATGGCCTGGGTTGGGGTTGGGATCTTGCCTCTCATTCTGCATCTCTTGCTACATGACATGTGAAGGACTAAATCCATCAATTTAAAACATTTGGGGTGCAGCTGCTCTTACTTTATACTCCTGAAATTGTGTGTTTTCCATGATTGAGTCTTATGCCTCAGCTTTTGTACACTGAGGGGTGATGTGATTTGCATGTTACTCTTTCTGTCTGGGAGGATTTGGCTCTGTCAGAGGTGTCTGTTCTACCCTGAAATTGCAACTCCAGAAAGGCCCAAACCCTTCATATGAAAACTGAAGTATTCTAGGATCCTCAAATCTCATTCCAAGCTGCATGGGAGAAACCTCCTCTGAGTCTTTGGGAGCCCCAAATGTCACTTCCAAGCGTTGGCTCAGTGTTGCTTTGCTGCTGAGCTGAGAGTTTCCCGTTGGCATGTTGAGTGAGAGGCTCTTGTTTCATGTCTGTCTGTCCAATACCAGCCATTGGCTCTTTGGCTAGGTCTCCCAAAAGTTTGCCCTGTGCTTTTTGGATGGGAACTTCCATAGGTGGTTCCTTCCAGGATGTGAGGGGGTTTCTGTAGAACCACACTGTGGCTCCAGAGGTTTCCCAGCTCCTGCCTAAAGCCTCAAGCCTTGTCTGACAGGGTGATCTGGTAAGGTTTTTTGGAAGGTTTCCCAAGTCCATTAATTTACAGATGCCCCAGTGGAATATATGGTTTGAGGGACTGTTCCTTTGGCCAGCAGG